AACCTTTACTTCAAAGTTTATTTCATGTACTTGTCTAAAGACTAATTCATTATATGACGGTGGTCGCGATGATGATGATGATTATTGTTTTTTTTACTTTTTACTGTTAGTTCCTCTAGTAATGGATAGTGGCTCAGATTGAGGAATTGGTGAGCCGAGTTCAAATTTCAGTCAAATCCATTACATTCACTTATGTGTTAATACCTTTGGGAAAGGTATGAATCTTCTTCTCCCCCCCAGCTATGGGTAAATAGCAGGACAGACCGGGTTCTATAGCCTTGTATGGCAACTGGTCTACCATAGAAAGAAATGGCAACCTAATGTGATGAAAAAAAATATGCCTTGTCAGTCATGTATCGAAAGATACATGATTACCGAAGCATGTATCACACATGGCACATAACTGACACCCACTACAAGGCTCAAGAGCCACTCAAGGTTATTGAATGAGATTGTAGTTGTCAGGGAAGCATTCCCTTGGGAGTTTGTTTCATAAAGTGATGGTTCCAGAGAAGAAGCTCTCTGAGTGGAACTTGCTCCTCATCAAAGGAACACAAAGGGAATGGGGGTGGTTTGCCACCATGAACATTGCATAGCCGATCCTAGCTGTAAAGGTCTGAACTAGTGGCACTAAGGAATGTAACTTGTCCAAATATCTGCCATAGTAATGAATGTTATGACAAAGTAGTAAGAAGCTAGCACTGTTTCATGTGTAGGTAGCTGACACTGTGACAATGGACATCACGACTGGCATCAGGCCGACGGACGTTATGACGACGGACATCCTGACGGACATTGCAACGACGGTTATGACGACGGACATCCTGATGGACATTGCAACGACGGTTATGACGACGGACATCCTGACGGACATTGCAATGACGGTCATTCTGACGGACATTGCAACGACGGACATCCTGACGGACATTTCAACGACGGTTATGACGACAAACCTCATGATGGACATGACAACTGTTATGATGGTGAACATTATGACTATATTGTTTATGTATCATTAACAATACTATTTGGCATTACTTTTTTGTAATGAATAGTATAATGGTAGATACATAATCGTCTCTATGCTCTTGTTAATTCGACCACTCATTCCCTGTCGCAGCAGTACCAAAAACCACTCTTGGTGTCATGACTTCACGTTGTTTTTTATCTTTATAGTCATCACATATTCACGCCACTAAGTTGGGAAGTGACCCGATCTCACTTGGTCTTTGATTCTGCAGAAATTTCAGTTGTGAAAACCTTGCAACTGTGGTAACTTCTTTGTTCACAGCACAAACTAACAAACTCTGTTGATTACTATCAACAGGTTTAATGAAAAACCAATTGAATAATTTAAGAGTACACAAGGAGTGCAGAATCATAAATTAATCTTTCTATATAACCTTGTTAACACTCTCTTGGCAAGAAAATTATTCTTGCAGCAATTTGCAATAAGCTATGGGTAAATAGCAGGACAGACTGGGTTCTATAGCCTTGGGTGGCAACTGGACTAGAAGGACAATTCTGAATTTAAAACCCGATCCTCCAGGTTGGGGATTGTGCTAACAACCTATTCACTTCAAAACTGGCTTGTTACAGAAACTGCAATGATATCTTCATTTGTAGCAGAAGCAGTTGCAATGTCTTTTGCACATCTCTGGCTTTGATTTATTGCAGGTTTCTTTATAAGATATGCATGACCTTTCTTTTGTCCAGATGGCCTCTTTGGAATGCAGTCAGTCCAAAATCCTATACACTTATTGAGATTAAGCAATGTCCATCCTGGTAAATATCTAAATGGGTGACTGCTTGGGAATACCAGGTGGTAGAATGGATAACAGCTCAGAATTTGAAACTGGAGTGTTGTTTCAATTCCAATCAGGTTCATTTTATTTACACTTGGGAACGGTATGAATCTACTTCTCCCTCCAGCTATAGGTTAACTTGTAGGACTTTTATTAATAAATCATTATCTTCCCACAAAAAATAATGCTTACCATCTAAAAATATTTTCTGGCTTTAAATAACCTGCAAAAATTTAATTTTATACTTTTCTCATATTCTCTAACATGTAGTAACCCCTTGCATTGTAGTAGCTTTATTGCCCTGCTTGGGGTAAAATGATTAAAAAAAACCAAAAAGCAAACAAAGATGAGCCAAAAAAAAACAAACAAAGATGAGCCAAAAAAAATGATTAAAAATGAGCCAAAAAACAAACAAAGATGAGCCAAAAAAACAAACAAAGATGAGCCAAAAAAAAAAAAAAAAAGAAAGATGAGCCAAAAAAAAAAGATGAGCCAAAAAAACAAACAAAGATGAGCCAAAAAAAACAAACAAAGATGAGCCAAAAAAAAAACAAACAAAGATGAGCCAAAAAAAAAACAAACAAAGATGAGCCAAAAAAAAAACAAACAAAGATGAGCCAAAAAAAAAAAAAAACAAACAAAACAAACAAAGATGAGCCAAAAAAAAAAAACAAAGATGAGCCAAAAAAAACAAACAAAGATGAGCCAAAAAAAAAAAAAGATGAGCCAAAAAAAACAAACAAAGATGAGCCAAAAACAAAAAAAACAAAGATGAGCCAAAAAAAAACAAACAAAGATGAGCCAAAAAAAAACAAACAAAGATGAGCCAAAAAACAAACAAACAAAGATGAGCCAAAAAACAAACAAACAAAGATGAGCCAAAAACAAACAAACAAAGATGAGCCAAAAACAAAACAAACAAAGATGAGCCAAAAACAAAACAAACAAAGATGAGCCAAAAACAAAACAAACAAAGATGAGCCAAAAACAAAACAAACAAAGATGAGCCAAAAAAAAAACAAAGATGAGCCAAAAACAAAACAAACAAAGATGAGCCAAAAAAAAAACAAACAAAGATGAGCCAAAAACAAAACAAACAAAGATGAGCCAAAAACAAAACAAACAAATTGATTGATCAATTTGCCAAAACCCTGGTCCTAATTTTGTTAACACTATGAACTCTTTGGGAAGCAGGTGTCTAATAGTACTTTATATAAACATAGCAAGAATTCTACCTTGAAATATAGAGACATTTCAGAAAACCATAAGTCATATTTCTCCAGAGGCAAATTAGTAGATTGGAGAAAATCTGGTCTTACTAAATCTTAATGAATTTTACTTGGTTTATTTCCGGTTTCAAACGTCATAGAACTGTCCCTAACCTCATTTTATGATTTCTAATATTATTTTTAATCTGTTCTTTCTTTTGTTATTCTCCTTGAAATTTAATTAGCTTACCTGAGTCCCCCCACTTTTAATCTTTATTTTCTGCTTCAAATCATCATTAAGCATTCTCATAAAACCAGTGCTACCATCTTGTTATAATGGTAATATTAGCCGTTTCCTTATAAGAAAACATTTGGTATTCATTGACTGAGAAGCCATTGCTACCATCAGTTGAAATCTTAAAATGTTTCTATTAAAGCAATTTTTCAGAAAAAATAAGTCTAAATCCAGTTATTGTTATCAGTCAATCGAATATTGATGGTGGTATATTGGCCTGTAGACAGATATTGAATGATGCAAGGCAACAAGAAACAAAACAAAGTCTTTAGTGAAGAAAATATATTGCAAAGTTTATTTTTGTTAAAGAAAATACATTGACAAAAATAAGGTGACAGTGCACTTGGTGAAGAATAATTCTGCATGATCATGTAGCAGGTGAGAAGAATGTTGTCCGGAGAAGGGCTGTTTTAGGTAATCGTTGAAAAGTGTCGTCCTGAGAAGGACAGTTTTTTAGGTAATCGTTGAAAAGTGTCGTCCTGAGAAGGACAGTTTTTTAGGTAATCGTTGAAAAGTGTCGTCCTGAGAAGGACAGTTTTTTAGGTAATCGTTGAAAAGTGTCGTCCTGATAAGGGCTGTTTTAGGTAATCGTTGAAAAGTGTCGTCCTGATAAGGGCAGTTTAAGGTAATCGTTGAAAAGTGTCGCCCTGATAAGGGGCTGTTTTAGGTAATCGTTGAAAAGTGTCGTCCTGATAAGGGCTGTTTTAGGTAATCGTTGAAAAGTGTCGTCCTGATAAGGGCTGTTTTAGGTAATCGTTGAAAAGTGTCGTCCTGATAAGGGCTGTTTTAGGTAATCGTTGAAAAGTGTCGTCCTGATAAGGGCTGTTTTAGGTAATCGTTGAAAAGTGTCGTCCTGATGAGGGCAGTTTAAGGTAATCGTTTGTCCTGATTTGGGCAGTTTTAGGTAATCGTGGCCAGATACTTATTGTACAAATATTGTGGAGGGATGGGTTGATAAAATCCCTATGGTTTATGATGTAATGATATTTACACAACTTTTACAGCTAACCCAGTATTAACTCTTTCCCCCCCACTTTTTTTTTTTTTTTTTTTTTTGTGGGGGGCCTGTGCACGTACGCTCGGGACAAGGTCAAAAATTGCCCTCAGCCCCTGCAACCATTGGTTGCGCGGGCCTCGGTGCAAGCACCGATCCCTCCTTCTGGTGCAATGGGAGGGCACGGCCTCAGGCAGCTGTTCCCCAGTGCTGGGAACCTCTTCAGTATAATTTTCTCAGTTGCCCCTGTGCCCTTTGACAAAGAAGCCCCTGAGCGCACTCTGCCCAAAGACAGAGACATAACTGAGATGATAAGCCTGCATTGAAAATCCCTCCAAGGAAGAATTTATATGCTTACACAGGATGACTTTTTTTGCTGCTTTGAGGCCTTTTTATATCCTGGATCAGTTTCGCAACAGTCACTGGTTAGGATTTTTTCTTTCGCTTATTTTAGAAATGTAGGAGTGTTAACAGGATATGACAGTCTTCCTTCCTAAGTTTTTGTTTGAAATAGTTTGGAATGTCAACATCTTGATTATGTCATTATTTTCTCTTCGAGTCACATGTGATATCCATTTTAGTTGTTGCTTCTGTTGATGTTGGTTTGTTATTCAGTACAGTTATTTGTTATCCTTTAGTATCAGTCCACAAGGTTCGAAGTTGGATGGTCCTCTATAAAACCTACAGGCTCTATTTACTCTGTTATTGTTAATCACAGATCTGAGAAAGTGTTTGTATAAGAAATATTTTGGTATTGAGGTCCTCATCAGACATGTGCAATGTTGTGAACCAATTTCATTCTTCTAACAGATCTAGATACAGAAGGAAAATTTTAAAGATATTTTATCTAAAATTTATTTCGCTGAGGATAGATCAACATTTTATTTGTTTTAAATATGGAATTTGGTGTAATGTAAGACTCCTTTCTAAGTTTACGTTTTTGGGAGTAAAGCAAATGACGAGGAAGACAGTAAAATTGATTCTCTCACATGTGAACACAAACTACAAGTTCACAAGTGAATTGTAAGAAAGAAAAACAGACAAATAAGCGACTTGACTGGCATCCTTTCAATAATGAATGTGTGTGACTGTTAGGTTCCAAAAATGCTGGCAAATTGACATCTTAGAGATCCAATTACCTACTCAGTTTGACGTGTGTCAACATCAATATCCTCATATGAATCGATCAGTTTGTCACTATCAATGTCAGAAATGTCAATATCAGATTCATTTTGTATTTCTTCCATGGATTCTACAATAAGCTGGGCTGTATATTCATAAAATGAGCTCTATGAATTTTTAGACTCCATTTCATTGTGATGCTGAATTTCCTATCATTAAAAAAGGATTGTAAAATTACAATTTTCTTCACTAATTGATCAAAGATTGATGATTTATGAATATGAGGCTCACCCTGGCAAAGAGGTTCCCAACTAGCATCCAGTTGGTAGACAAAATCAACTTCCATTACAGTCGAGTACTGTCTGTTGCTATTACCAAATTCTACACTTGCTTAGTAGGACTTAACTTCTATTATAATTGAGTATTATTACTTGACACTACCAAACTCTACAAAGATGAAATGGCAGCAGTAGCATACTATCACTGTTTACATGATTTCTTGCATTATTTGTAGTGGTGTCATCATATTATGGCAGGGTATAGATGGGGTGTGTTATGGTGGGTTGAATGCTAAAGGGTTAATAAGCAATAAATGCCATTGCTTTGGGATACATTTTTGATTCCAGACTTGTTTTTAGATTTTTGGAGAGAATCTGCTGTTTTTAAATTTTTGGAGAGAATCTGCTATTTTTAAATTTTTGGAGAGAATCTGCTATTTTTAAATTTTTGGAGAGAATCTGCTATTTTTAAATTTTTGGAGAGAATCTGCTATTTTTAAATTTTTGGAGAGAATCTGCTATTTTTAAATTTTTGGAGAGAATCTGCTATTTTTAAATTTTTGGAGAGAATCTGCTATTTTTAAATTTTTGGAGAGAATCTGCTATTTTTAAATTTTTGGAGAGAATCTGCTATTTTAAATTTTTGGAGAGAATCTGCTATTTTAAATTTTTGGAGAGAATCTGCTATTTTTAAATTTTTGGAGAGAATCTGCTATTTTTAAATTTTTGAGAGAATCTGCTATTTTTAAATTTTTGGAGAGAATCTGCTATTTTAAATTTTTGGAGAGAATCTGCTATTTTAAATTTTTGGAGAGAATCTGCTATTTTTAAATTTTTGAGAGAATCTGCTAGTTTTAAATTTTTGGAGAGAATCTGCTATTTTTAAATTTTTGGAGAGAATCTGCTATTTTTAAATTTTTGGAGAGAATCTGCTATTTTTAAAAGTGTCAATATCAAGTGATGCTTTATTATTGAGTTTTTTTTTGTTTTTTGTTTTTTTTATAGTTTTCTTGATTTCCTCTCCACAAGGTCCGTTGCTAAGACAGGCTTTGTAATGCTTGGATTTATACTGGTTTATATTCTATTTCTGCAGGTACCTTCAGCTTAGTGTGATCAGGGTTAGAATGTATTGGGATTCTGTCAGTTTTAAGCTATTATTTAAAATTGGGCCTCAAAGTCAATGACATTGAAAGAAAAATAATATCTAACTCTGTGCAGAATCCATTTACCTTTTTAAAAAAAAAAAAAAGCTGAGAGCATGCTGCTGTCAATGTCATTGGCACCATGATACGGAGAAAAACCAGGGCAGACTCATGCCATCATTTTTAATGGAAAGCCTGGATGTTCTGACTACAGATTAGTGTACCTGCCTTCAGATTCATATAAAATTGGTCACACCGAATGAATGTTTTTTATCAATTGACTGATTTGTTTTCTACAGCTTATAAACACTTTGCTGGTTATTTAAAGCCAGAAATATTTGCAGAACTTTTTTTTTTTTTTTATAATAATGATTTAGTGATACAAGTTTTATTAATTAACCCATAACTGGGGGAAGACGAGATGGATTTATATCTTTCCCAAGGATATTTCGGTGTAAGTGAATATAACGAACCCAATTGGAACTCCGCTCTCCAATTAACAATTCTGAGCAATTATTCAAAGCACAACCTGTAGATATAAGCTTACAGTATTCGGTATTCCCAAGCAGTCACTCATCTTGGTACTGACCAGGCTTGATGTTACTTAACTTTGGTGATCATATGGGAACCAATGTTTCAACATGATATAGCCGTAAGCTTTGAATGACTGGGGAAGAAAGTCAGTTGTGAGAGGAATGGATCTGTAGCTATTTAGCATTGAATTTGTAAGCACTTTATTTTCACTACAAGCGGTTTCATCTTTCTTTGACTCTCTATTTGTGATGGTTTGGTTTTGTTTGTTTTATGGCATATCAACATCTCAATGGGTTATTTAATGCCAACAAGATTTTTATTACTGATAAGACATATACAATGAGAAAAGAAGGTTTGGAAAATTTGGCACTCATTGGGTATATTAAAGGCAAGAGACAACTGTAACCTACTTAATAAGCTTATTTAAATGGATGATAGAACAGGGATTGTGAAAAGAAAAACATTAATAAGAGTTACAAATGATAGGCAATCATGGCTCCCTAAAACTTCCTATTTCCTGAAGTGGACTTTAGTATAAACGCCTCTAAAAAATGAGCAGTTTTATTCCATTTTCTCAGATAAATCTTACAGTGGCAAAATTTTCAGTCCAGTCAAGAATGGATGTTAAAAAAGAAAGAAAAAAAAAAAAAGAAGGAAAGAGAAAGAAAGAAAGAGAAAGGAAAAAAAAGTGAAAATTTGATGTTTGCTCGTATAGTTAGCATTGGTCAGTATTTCAATGACCAAACATCAGAGTACTGATTTGGGGGAAGAATTGTCGACCTTTTTCCAAATGAAATTGAGCCTCAAAATATTCTTGCTCTTTGCTCTAACCATCAAACCTTGAAACCTCATTTATTGTCATTACAAACATCTGTTCATTGAAAAGTCTTTGCAAATAATTCTGTTGATGCATCTGCTTGACCATCATATCAGATTTCTTGTGGGAAATCTCATTAGTTTTATTATCTTTCCCCTAAGTGCACTTAAGTACTGTTATCATGTTTGACTAATACACTGACCAATCAGTATTGGTGTTGCAGAAACACTTTTTTTGAATTGTTTGTTTAAATCACGTTATGTCTTTTTGTCTTCCCTTTATCTCTGTCTTCATCAGGTTATTTCTCTTTCTTTAGTTTTTTCTAATAAATTTATTTAATTCAGCAGTTGTTTTATCCATATATATACATGTATGTATGTATCATATATATACATATATATATATATATATATATATATATATATATATATATATATAAGAGAAAGAATAGTAAGATTTATAATCCGGTGTTATTATTAATTATTCTTTTTAAAAAACAGTGTTCAATACAATTGTGCAAAGCATATTCGCTTGAAAATGAAACAGTGCTAGGGATTTTAATTTAATTCTATAATTAAATTTGAAGTTTTTGGTTTCTGTTTTTGAAATATGGTAATTCCTGTATAGTGATGGAGCCATATTTTTAAACTAGTAAATTTATAATATATATCGAATTGAGTTCTCTCAGTCACTGTGTGTTTATCTAAAAATAAATACACTTAAATTCACCTTCATCTCTGCTGTGCGCTAATGGCTTAGTGATAAAATCCCCGACTGACGCCAATTCAGCCGGGTTTCGATCCTCGTTATAGGTAACTGGACATCTAGCCACACTGATGAGCTGTGATACAGCGAAACAGTCTGTCTGTAGATGACTATATATATATATATATATGTTCGTAGTGCAACTCAGTTTCATGGTTTTGCCAACTCATCTGGCATAAACTATTAACTGTAATAGTTCAAGCCTGATGAGTTGGTAAAACCATGAAAGTTTAAGTATGTATATTTATTAATATATACTTCTTAGCTCTATCTAACCACATCGAGCACTGTTTTATTTACACCTTATGTTAGGTTGGAGTATTGAACAGTGGCTTGGATTGAGGAATTGGAGAGACTAGTTTGAATTCCAGTTGAATCCATTACATTCACTTATGTGATTCATACCTCTTCTCCTCCTAGCTATAGGTAAATAGCAGGGCAGACTGGGTGCTATAGCCTTGAATGGCAACTGATCTACTGCAGAAAGAAGTGGCAACCTATTGCAGGAAAAAATCTGCCTTGTCAGTCATGTATCAAAAGATACATGATCGCCTAAGCATTTATCATGCATGGCACATAACTGACTGAAATATCTATTTGCTTATCTGTGTATGAACGCTAACACACATAGATACAGTTGGTAATATCTAATTATTTGGTTTATATCCACATTTATACCTTATGTAAACTTTGTCAGAGCTCTAGATAGAAATGGTAAAAACAAAGAGACACAGATTAATGGTATATTATATTTGGTTATTTCTTATTGGTTAAATATGAAGCATTAATAAAATGAAACTTGTTAGATTGAGATCTGTTTCCTACTTGTTCTTTATACTATCATTTTGTTGGATTCCTACCTATAATTGATCTTCTGTTCATACACACACACACACACACACACAGTACAGGTAATTGATCCATTGGTATATAATCTGGGTGGATCCTAGTAATATTAATTATTAAAACTGATCTACAGAGAGCTCAATGTTTTTATTTCAATATATATTTTTATATTTTTATTTTTAATATACGAGGAAAAAACCTTAAAAATCCATAGATGTAATATATTTATTTTGATGAATATAAACATATTCATTTCAACATTTTATGAAATGGGATCAAGATATCCCATGTAGACAGATATACAAAGATAAAAAAAAATAAAAAGTTCAAGTCTTTAGGGATTTACATTATGAATAAAGTGAACAGAAAAAAAAGATTTAATATAAAGGTTAAGAGAAGGTAAAAAGATATCAAGGTTAAATTTAGAACAGAGCTGCAACGATGTGTCAAAGTTCACAGAAGATGGGGTTAAAATGGTGTTTATTTAAATATAATCATTTACCTCATAATACTAATGATAATAATAAAAATTATAATACACTTATAACAAAAATATATTATAACTATATAAAATATATATGAATAAGACAAAATTTATCTAAGCTGACGTGTTTCAGCCTTTGATAGACTTTATCAGGACAGATGTAAGGATTTTATTTTGTGTCAAGTATTTATATAAAGGACCAAAAATGTTATTGGTTTTTAAAAAGTTTTGGTGTAGGGCTGCTCATGAATATTCATCAGGCAAGTTCATGGATGGAAGCTGATACAGTTCAATGGCTAATAATTGAAAGTGAATAGTTTTTAGCTCAAATATATATATATATATATTTTAACTAAAATATAGATTTCAGCTAAAAAAAATAAAAAATAATATGCTAGAATTTTCTTTTCTTCTACTGTACGCTGATAGCTCAAGAGTAGAAACTCCGACTGATGCCAAATCAGCTGGGTTTTGATCCTGGCTGGAAACAATTGAATGTCTAGCTGCACTGATGAGCTGTGGTACAGTGAAACAGGCTTGTATTTAGATGACATTATATATATATATATAGATATTTTTGTAGGTACAAAATTTAATGATCGAAATAAAAGTATAAAACTTAATATTACGAGACATATTAAAAAGCGGTAAAACAACGGTTTAGCTCTCGCTCTTCAGGCTTCAACAGGAGATTTAAAATTAACACAGATAAATGTGCAATAAAAGGAAGTTGTGAAAAAAAAAAAAGCCTGAAGAGCGGGAGCAAAACCGGTTGCTTCGCCCGTTTTTATTATGTCTCGTAATATTAAGTTTTATACTTTTATTTCGATCACACACACACACACACACACACATATATATATATATATATATATATATAATCTCTAAATGTAATGAGAATGAAAAGAATATAAATTCAAACGTTCATAGCATTAATTTAAAAGAGTGCTCAGTACCAAGAGTTGAGCAATAGTTATTTATTATAAAGATGTTACATACGGACTAACAAGTGTGTGTGTGTGTATATATATATATATATATATAAAAACACACACAAACATATATTTTAAAAGCAACACACACGAAGAATGAAGAAGTCGATAGCTTGGATCATATTTCCTGTACTTTTCTTCAGAAATGACTTAGACAATTCCTGATGGAATTTCCTTGTCTGAGAAGGATTATTCCTTATTTGGAAAAGTTATATAAATGTATATATAAATACATGTATAAAAGAAGTAATGGATTTTTTTATTTATTAATCCAACAGATTTCCTCACTTTAAACATTATTTTCCTGGGTACTGATATTTGAGTAGATGCTCTGTTTATTTATTAAACAGTATATATATTTATTTTCATCTACCAGCCAGAATATTTGAGAAAGCTTACTAAAGAAAAATATGTACCCTCCAGCAGGATTTGAGCGTGTGTCCCACTTTGCAGAAGAAACTGTCATTAAATCTGATGTACCTTAGACCGACTCGGCCATGGAGGATGTTGCCGATCAAGCAGTGTTTAATAGTACCTTTACAAACATAAATCCTTCCCAGATTCTTGAAAGTTCATATCTGCTCAGTTTTGTATCCTAAACTGCAATGTGGCTTTTGCTTCTTCATTATATAGATAAGAATGGCAAAGATAGATATTTGGAAGGTGTTTGGCATGTTGGGCTCCTCTTATTTGGTCCCGTCTTTCTTTATCAAACTGTGTAATGAGATTTCTCTTGAATGGCCACTCCTCTGGATCATTTTGCATTAAGATGGTGTCCCCAGTGCTCTATTCTTGGACTTAACTCTGTTCCTTATTTTCATCAACAGCCTTCTTAGAGAGTGAAGTTAGGTAAAATTGGTAATTAGTCAATATTTTTAAAAACTTGTGTCATTGTAAATGGTTTACTTATTTTGATGATTTTGTAATTTTTTAAAACATTTTTTATTCCATTTTTAAGCTAGGTTCAGCATTTTTTTTTTTTTTTTTTTTTTTTTGCTTTTCACCCCAAGCAAGGCGGGAAGCCACTAGGACGCAAGGGGTTACAGAAGATTTGGAGCAAGATCAGATAGGAGTTATAGAGGAAAAGATGAGGAGAAGGATAGTGGATAGATCAAGGCAACTGGAGATGTCAATTGACATTACATTTGAATAGTTGGAGATTATAGCTCTCGGGAAACTGGAATAGGGAAGGGAGTTCAACAGGCGAGAGGTGTGAGA